TCCGGAATGATGTCTGGAAGACGTCTGGTCTAATTAGCATATTACCCTTTTATTAGTATAGATGCTTCCTCATTCTTCTCCATAACACTTCTACTGCCTGACATACTGTATATTTATTTGTTTCTTTACAGTCTGCCTCTCCCACTAGGATGTAAGCCTCACGAGGATAGGTTTTGGTTTAAGTTGATGTACTCCAGCACTTAGAAAAGTGCCTGGCATATAGTAGAGCTTCAATAAGTATTTGTTAAATGATTACATATGATTCAACTATTTTATAATAAAATATTTCATACAAGTTTCTATACTAATAATAGCCTAGATGGTCGTCACGCCCTCACATCGTCACAAGACGGCCGTCACAAGATGGCTGCACACACAGCAGAGTTGGGGCCCAGCGGCCACTCTGCGTGGTGAGGCCTGGGGGTCCCGCGGCTCTGCGTGGAACGGAAGAGACCGGTCCCAGCGTCTCCGCCACCTTGCGCAGAGGAGGCAGGTTAAGGCAGGGGAGGGCAGTTGTGGGCGATCAGGCCGGCAGGGGAGGGCAGTTGGGGGCAATCAAGCCAGCAGGGGAGGGCAGTTGGGGGCCGCCATCAGGTCAGGGGAGGGCAGTTGGGAGCCATCATGCTGTCAGGGGAGCAGTTAGGTGTCAATTGGGCCGGCAGGGGAGCGGTTAGGGGGAGATCAGGCAGGCAGGCAGGTGAGCAGTTAGGAGCCAGCGGTCCCGGATTGTGAGAGGGATGTCCGACTGCCGGTTTAGGCCCGATCCCCTGCCGGCCTGATCTGGCCTAAACCAGCCTAAACCAGGTAGAGCAGGTGAGTGGGGGTGCCAGACCAAGGTGGGGCTCTAGTCACTGTCATTGGGGCAAGCCTCCGGTGGTTACTGAAAATTCTTTGCTCCCATGTGCCACGGTCCTGCCGGGCGCTCGCATCTGCTGCCGGTGCCAGCCCCACTCACACCCGCTGCCGGCGCCAGAGCCAACGCTTGCACCCGCTGGCCAACCTCCTGTGTCCCTTCCCGACCCGAATCGTGCACCAGTGGGGTCCCTCGGCCTAGCCTGTGTCCTGTCACAACTCTGGGCTGAAGGACCCCACACCCCGAGTGCACGAATTTCATGAACCAGGCCTCTACTATGTTAATAAGTACCTGTTAGCACAGAAGGCAAGACATTAAATGAAAATGAGTTTAAGCCTTCTGCTCTGAACAACATATACTGAGATCTTAATGGGGTACAGATTTTATGGAATGAAGAGATTGCTCTAAGATGGAGTTGAGTAAATTGTAGCAATAAGTTCCATTTTGAACACAATTCAAACTTAATATCAATTTCTACTGAGTCATTAAAATAGAATTTTACCCTTACTTGCAAGTCCTACATATTAACTACTATAATTTTTACATGATTTTTAAGATGATAATCTTTTAGAAAATCTGTTTCCATTTCTAATCACATTTTTTACACTTAGAACCTATAAATTTTTCAATTGTTCACAAAATTATAATTAGTATGCTCTACCTGGAATTATTAATATTGTTCTTCACAATTGTTTAGTCATGTCCATCCATATCAATTATTAATGATTTTTTTAATCCACATTTACAACCTAACAGAATCTATCCAACACTGTCAAGGGAAGAATTTCTGAGTTCAAAGCTGAAAAACAAACCTTTGTCTAGTCACATGATAACTGACTGCAACTTAGAAATCTAATACTTCTACATTAAATGAATGTTTAAAAAATAAAAAGCAATATTCTCTAAAAGTTCATTAAAAAAAAACCCACCATGCTTCACACACATACACACACACACACACATACACACACACACACACACACACACACACACACACACACACACCTTCCCATAATGCATTCAGGAACCAAGAAGTGAGCACACAAAACTTCAAGATATTTATCTCAAAGCCCACGTCTATAATAATAGAAGTGTAATATGCTAGTTAGACTGGACGTCCTTCCGAATGACCTCCCGGACGAAGCCAGGACTGTATGGGAAGCCCAGGTCCCGGGGGCCTGCTGGCGGCCAGAGGAAAGCTGGGGTCCAGGTGCCTGCCAGCGGCCAGAGGGAAGCCCGAGGCCCAGAGGGAAGCCCAGGTCCCAGGTGCCAGAGGGAAGCTGGTGCTGGAAGCCTGGAGAAGGAAGGCCTACTCTTGCATGAATTTCGTGCATCAGGCCTCTAGTCTACATATATAAAAGCCTAAGCAACCAAATGACC